TTTCAGGAGCTTGAGTTTGGATTTGTTGGGAAGATTGGGAAGGGTTCTGTTGGAATCCAAAATTTTGGTTGTTTTGAAAGCCATTGTTTTGATTAGTGTAACCTTGATTTTGGAATCCTCTGTTTTGGTTTTGAAAACTGTTGTTTTGGTTATTGTTATGATGACTTGAGTTGGGATTGTTTTGAAATCCCTGGTTTTGAAAACCTTGGTTTGAATTGTTTTGGAAGGAAGGTCTTTGAAAATTTTGTCCAAAATAAGGTCTTGGTTGAAAACCTGAGTTGTTTTGAACAGGTTGAGGTCTTGGTTGAAATCCAGAATTATTTTGTCCAAATGATGGTCGGTTTTGAAAATTTGGTTTAAAATTCGATTGACCGTGATTTGGAATAAATCTCTGGAGGTTTGTGTTTGCTACCAAAGCACACAGTTGTTGGTAGTCTGCTTCATCATTTAAATCAGATTGATCAAAAGAATTGTTCAAAAAGGGTTGGTTTTGAAAAGATGTCTGATTAAAATGATTGAAGTTTTGTTCATTAAAAGGTGTTTGGTTTTGAGAAGATGTGGAAACGAGAGCAAGTGGTCCTCCAAAAGCTGTAGTGGTTGGTGGGTCAATCGAGGATTCATACGATTGAAGTTCTCCATACAAATTGTATAGAGTTTCAGTATGAATGGCTGGATTTCCCTGAATGATGAGTTTAACCATCTTCCAGCTTTCGTAAAGATTGTTTAGAAACTTGAGATTTATCTCGTGTTGTGTCTTTTTGATGCCCAAATTGTTCATTTTTACCATGATAAAATTGAACCTATCATGAGCATCATGAATGGTTTCTGATGAAAGCATCTTGAAATTATCGAATTCATTTAAAACAGATGTTCTTTTGTTTCCAATAATTCTTTGATTTCCACAAAAACGATTTTTTAAATTCTCCCAGATTTGATTTGCAGTCAACAGCATTATGTCATCCATTTGACTTAGAATACTGTGGGGAATTCCAGACACAAGTTCCTTTTTGGCTTGGAGTTGCAGCTTTTTTTCGGTTTCAGCAAGAGTGGCTTGATTTGTAGCAAGAGTAGCCATATTTTCTGGAGTAACATATGTTCCTTCTACACAATTCCAGACATTTTCATTTATGGAGTTGAGATGAAGATTCATACGGCCAACCCACGAATTATACTCTTCAGGAATAAGTATGGGTGCCCGTGAACCAGATCCCAAGCTGTTAGCAATAGAAACAGAGTTCATGTTGGAGTAATTAGCAGAAGACATAATAAATTTTTTTTTGAAAGGATTTTGAACAAGTGATATTAAAATGAAAATTTCAAAGAAACGCTAATGGAAGGTTTTAAAAAAAAAACGCTAACCAAAGGTTTTCGACAAAAATTTCAAAGTAAATCAACCAGGCTCTGATACCAATTGTTAAAAATATACGATCTGATTACCACGAATAAAAGGCTCAGTTACCAGTTACTGGGTGACAGATATATATATTTAATGAGATTAGATGCGGAAAGATAAGAAGTGCGGAATAAATAAATACTGGAAAGCTATAAATGACTGAAAGCTATAAATGAAATAAATGACAGTATTTAAATGACATAAAGCTGTAATAAAATATATAAATATAGATATAGTAGGTGGGTTTTGAACTGGACTTGTGGAACGACTGGTCTATAAAGTACGTTTGTCAAATAAATGACTGAACGGCTTAGGGTTGGACTGGATCTTAATAGAATGTGTCTCTATTTGTTCAATGTTCAATCAGGTATAAGTAACATAAAATTTATTCAAAATTCTGTTACTCAATTGTTTATACAGTAAGACAAATACACTGGTTTTTATGTAATTGTATTTAAGGTATTTCTGGTTGTTTTGAAAGGTTGTTGTTGGTAAGGTAGGTATGTTGTCTTGGTTGATTTGGGTGTTGGTATGGGTTGTTTTGGGTGTTGGTATTGGTTGTTTTGGGTGTTGGTATCGGTTGTTTTGAGTGTTGGTATCGGTTGTTTTGAAAGTTGGTATTGGTTGTTTTGATGTGAGAGAGGTGTTTGGTGGTGATTGGTGTAGTAAACAAAGGTGATATAGGCTTTGTTTGATGGGTTGAATGTGAGGAAGATGATGAATAGTGTTTGTGTTCTTGAGTTGTTCTTGAAGAAGAGGTTGTTCTTGAAGCTTGTTGGTCTTGGCTTTGGCTTTCTTCTTTTGGAGTGAAAGAGTTACAGAATATTACAATGAAAACTCTTTAAACACTCTCTAACACACACAATACACTCACATACATCCACACACACACATACTCACGTATGCTCTCTCTCTCTCTCTCTCTCTCTCTCTTTTTGGTGTATTTGCCCACAACACTCCCACACTTTGGTGTTTTTCTCTACTTCTCTCTTCTTGCATGCATCTATATATATATGCACAAATACTCCAGGCAACTCTCATTTGTTTAAGGGAAAGTAAACATTGTTGAGGAGTGAAAGCTGGAAAGAAGTTGGAAGCATGCAAGTGGGTTTTCTTCTTTTGTGCTGTCTTTGCTTTCTTTCCTCATAGCACATACACATATACACTATGCATGTGCATGTATATATATTCAAAAGTAATTTCTAGATGGTATGTATGCTGGAAGTGATGATGAAGCTGTGAGTTTAGAAAGAAAGAAGAAACACATGTGATGGAGACTTTTGCTTTTGTGTTTTCTTGTTTCTTCCTTCATATGTATATATATACGATACATGTATATATATATATATATATATGTATATATATATATATACATATACACACAATATACATATATATATATAATATATATTCGTGGGTATTTCTTGCATGGATGAGTTTTACGCGGGTGTGCGCGCGGGCCGCGGGTCGGTCGCGTGCATGGCTGCTTCTTGCGATCTGAATAGCTGAAGTAAAAATTCGATGTACGCGGGTATGGGCGCGGGTCGCGGGTATGGGTGCGGGCCGTGGGTAGGTCGCGTCTTGCGTTCTGAATAGCTGAAGTGAAAATCTCGATCTACGCGGGTATGGGCGCGGGCCGCGGGTCGGTCGCTGGACCTGATCAGTTTTGTGCGGTTTGTCATGCGGGCCGCGGGCTGGTCGCGGGACCTGAATGGTTTTGGTTCTGAATTTTGGATTTGATCCATGATATCCGCGGGTATGCGAGTCGAGTCGGGTTCGTGAATCATCTTGCTTTGGTTTGATTCGTTTTTGATCTTTGTATTCGGTTTTGCAAGTGGTTTGAGTTGCATGACTTGAGTCTTGAGATTCTTATCTTCATGCGGTTTGAGACTTGTCGAGTTGTGAATTTACGTCTTTGCGTTTTTGTCATTCACGTGTTTTCGTATATACCGTTTTGATTACGTATTGATACAACCTGAAATAACTGATAATATTTGTTAGATAACATCAAAACAGTTCGTCTTATTTCAGTGATGGTCACATACAAAAACATTTTCCAACAAATATAATAATGAATATAATAAACAAATAGAAAAAAATTTCTAGGCTAACAATAGGAATAAAAAAATAAATATATATATAGACTAAACTGCAAATTTGGTCCCTGTGGTTTGCAAAAAGTTGTGGATGAAGTCCAAAAAGTTTCCAACTTGCACAAATAGTCCAAAATTGACTACTTTTTGTGGATTTAGTCCGTATATTTAACACCCGTTTATTTTTCTGTTAAATCCTTATAAAATGACCGATTTGCCCTCTATCTTAATTTTTTCTAATATATACATAAAACCTAAAAACAAAGAAGCACCCTACCGTTTCCTTCTTCCATATTCCTTACCCATTTCCTCCTCATCTTCCATAGCCACCCATCGTGCAACCATTGTCGTGAAACCCTGTTAAACCCCTCGCTCGAGTATTAAAAGGTTAATCATCATTGTCCTCATGAGATTCATTTGTCTTTTAGCAAAAAGAAAGAATCAGAGGTAGATGACGGGAGCAAGAACATAATCATAGTTAATGATTATTGGAGTAATAACAAAAAGAAACAGATTTAATTTGGGGATTAGGTTTTTGGAACTGTTCAAACTTTTGTATATTTCCTTCATGCTCGTCTATTGAAATGCTTCATCTCTCATCAATTTCATGATGCTTCTTCCGATTTGTAATTCGTGTGGTTTCGTTATATGTGGATCGGAGATATGAACAATAGACAGAGGAATTGGCTTGTGGTTGGAGGTGGTGTGGGTCTAGAGAAGACGATGGAGTGGGGGTGCTGTGTAAGGGTTGGAGATAGTAATGACATATTGATTAGCGGGCTTATGGTTGGGGATGACGCCGGAGAAGACGACTAATGGTGGGCGGAGGAATTATTGGAGGGAAGGGACAGAGGCATCTAAACGATGCAGTAAGGACTAAGGAGTATATACACGACCCACAAAATTCTATAATATTAATAATTAATAGAAAATACATGATGGAGGGCAATATTATCAATTCAGCATGTCTTAACGGAATAAATAAACCGCAGTACAGGGAACAAATCCACAAAAAAATCAAATTTTGGACTATTGGTGCAAGTTGAAAACCTTTTGGACTTCATCCACAACTTTTTGCAAACCAGGGACCAAATTTGCAGTTTAGTCTATATATATATATATATATATATATATATATATATATATATATATACTGGAACAAGGTAGCAACAATAATTTTCTTATTTTTGTACATTGGCCACTAACTTTTTCCAGTTTTACACATTCGCCATATGATTTTGAAGGTTTTGTCAGATTTTGTCCTTGTAGTTGTGATGTTTTCATTAGGGCATGGTATTTTTTGAGGGATTGACAGCTTAGTCCCTGGTCTCCTCCCTGGATTTTGCCCTTTTGGACAAGCTGTGCTCCTTCCATCGGCTCCCCACCTCATCTTCCAATCAAGCGCCCCACCTTTCCTTAGACTACACCTCCCAACCTTCGAATCAGGTTTTTTCATTTGCTTCCACCGCTTCTTTCCTTCGATTTATCTACGCATATAGGTGATCGATTTCATTATGCCAAAACGCTTCACACCTCCGACCTCTGCTGAACGCAAACGCCACGGCCACAACTATCGCCGCTGCCACCTCTACCACCACAAGACTACCCTCCTCCGCCGCTGGTCGTCGGTTTTCATCATCCCTTTTCGCTTCTCTCCTTCTCCGGTGGTTCTTTTGTCGACCATTATGTCCCTCGTTAACAGACTATTCAAGGTATGATCATAATGTGCAAGAAATGGAAGGTAAGCAACTAATTTGGTTATCGGCACAATTTCTCATTTCTCTTCTCCATTCAATCGATAGCTTTCAATTCCTTCGTCAACAGAGAATGAAATTGGAGAAGACCCCTTTTTTGTTAACCTTCAACTAATTTTCTGGTTTTTGAGAGAAATTTCGAATTCAGAGGGTTTGTCTACTGCAACACCCATCTCCTACTCTAATATTGACTTCCAGGTGAAATTATATTTGATGTTTTTCCATATATACTTTCTTTTCCATCTGCGTTTACACAATTGTTCAATTCTTTGTTTGTAATTGTATTTTCGTTTTTGTTCGTGAAGCTGCTGAATGATGTTTTAGTGTTGGCATATATGCCTCTTTACTATATTTTCCCTAAATAACACTTGACTAGGGTTTTTTTGGTAATTTTTGTTAAATGGACTTTATAAACTTACGTTTTGATATGTATTTGTTTTGGATTGCAGGGTTCATTTTCATCATCTTTTCCAGTTGATGCTTCACTACGGTTCACCAACACAATACTCTTCTTATTTGAAGTTCATTTGAAACTAAATGATGGATCATGGGCATAATTGACTTGTGAATGACTTATAGTTGATTGCATTTAGGGTGAACTTATGATTAATTAGTAGTGGGTGAACTTATGATCCATTAGTAGTTCATTTTAGTTATTTTGTTTTTCACTTATATGACATGTGTGGTTGACGTGTACAAGAATTGTGGGTTTTTTTGCAGTTTCGGGAGAATACCATACTATTAAATAGGGGTGTGTTGCAGGAAATTGCAATGCAAGAAGATGTCTTTATATTTAATTACATGTAAGGAATCTTTTCCTCGATTTCTTACCAAATCAAATGCTAAAAAGGTAGTTAATACTGCTGTAGTGTGGTTTATTTTTATTAGGAGAGTAGGGAAAGCTTTTATAGTCACATTATTACTATCAACTTCACAGACAACCTTTAAGTAATAATAGCATAACATTTTTTTCCTTTTATTGAGAAGCCACTCAATTTTTTAGCATGGGAAAGTACTCGGTACGCATATGAGCAACAATGCATCTTGAAAAGAGATGGAAAAAGGAATCAAGAGTTGTTCTTCCTAAGCAAAGACCGTATTTTTTTCAAAGCTATTGACCTTCACGTACAAAGTAAGTTCATATCTCTCTTTCTGTCTCACTCGCTGTATTTGCGTGTGTGGTTTCCATAAACGTTGGTTTCTGATTTTAATAAGGGTTATAATTTTGATTTATTAATTTTGTCAATATATGTATGTCTATTCTTCATTTTTGATGAATTTTGTCAAATCAAAATTGTTTCTATATTAATTACATCTTGCATTTATGATATTCGATGAAATATGAACATAGATTACTATTTGGACCGGTGAATAGTTGTTTAGTGTATTGTTGTGCCCATATGTAGATATTAGAGTTTATCCGAATCTTACTGCCACTGAAAAGAGTTGCACTAAGCCAAGTGGGAAAAGGGTCATGTCTTATGAGACTATGTGCCCTGATGATGGATATATCTACATTCATAATAGTGAACTTCTAATTGGGCTGCTTGGGAAGGCTACTATTGGTCATTTTTCTTTTCAAATATTTTATAAATGTCAAAAATACCCTTGTAGTTTGGTGCACATGAATGTGGGGGAAGGAATGGAATGGTTGATTGATTCTAACGGAATGAAAAAAGAAGCTTTTTTGCTTTGTCTGATGGAATAAAGGAGTGTAATTCCTTACAATTTGCTAATCTTAATTACTTAGCTAGATGGTGTTTTTTTTTCAATTCCATTATGTAATGAAATGAAAAATTGCAATCTAACCCGCTTTTAGTGGTGTAATTTTCAATGAAACATCTATCTAAAAAAATTACTGATTTTAGTTAAATTACAATTTGTTTTAAAAAGTAACTACAAAAGATCCATTTTATTATAATCCTATTTATGTTTTGATACTCAATTTCTGTTGCACATTCACATGCCATCCCACACATTCAACACTAAAGACATTATAACCAAATGAATTACAATGACCCGTGCGGAGCATGGGTAACTACGCTAGTTTTTAATAGGGATATGCGTTGTGAATCTCATCTTTTATTGTTTTTTTTCCGTATATTCAACCGTTCATCTTTCCATGTGTAGGCACATTATGCTGTATTCATGTTCGTGTCCATGTAGTCATGGCTTGTTGGGATCTAGAACAATCTCTATAAAGCTTAATAGGTAATCACTGATTACCACACAATCCCATCAGCTGATGGTAAAAATTAAAGAAAACAAAATCCAACTATAATATTCAATTTTATTAATTTTGTTATATTGGTTTCTTGGAATTAGGGAGCAATATCAATAATAAGATCATAAACAACTCCTGCCACTACCATTAAAAATTTCCAGTATGCAAATTTAGTTTTTTTGCAATCCGCTGTGATTATATTGCAGATACGAAAGCACACAAAAACTTAAATGTCTAAATCTTTAATTACTAGATTACCTTTTATAATAGAAAATCAAGTTTTGTTTTATGAAAACAAGTTAATATGTAGGTGTCTATGATCATTGTATTGTCATTCTGTTTTAAGTTTAATTCAAATCCTTTTGGCATCATGCTAACGTTGGATCTGATGGTGCTCAAAATGTTATTCATTTTGTTTCTTGTGTATATCAAATAGAAGAGTTGGATTGTTTTTTTTCTATTTTTGTTTATTTTCAGATTTTAAATCTCTAGTTGGTCAAAAACTAGAGATATAATGAGATTTCATACAAGAGATTTGAATGTTAATCAAGTTGTTTATAAATTTGATTTTGCAGGTTGTGTCATTTTTGTTGAGCATCTATGGTTGTTTGTGTGTTTGTCACACCCCCAAACCGGAACGGCGGAAACATTCGTGGGCGGAGGACGTCATGTACAGTATCACGACAATTGAATAATAGTAATCAAAGTAGCAACAACCATTGTATTGATAATATAGTGTTTACATTGTATTCGAATAACATATGATTGACTCCAAAAGCAAATAGCAAAACAAAGACTTGAAGCTACTATGCTCCATCTTCTAGAACCTGCGTGTGTACCTGTCTACTAGTGCCCTGAGAATACAAGTGATTTGGACAGTGTCAACATTAAAGTTGGCGAGTTCATAAGCATTCGTTTTAGAAAGCATGTTCTTTGTTCCATGAAAATGTTATAATGTATTTCCAGAAAATCCAATATTTTCTTTAGTGAATGTAGTGTAGTCTTAAGCCTTAAAATCAAGATGTAGGTAGTCATTGAATCCTGTAGTAGTAGTAAACTATAGCCTTATAAAAAAAATAAAACTGTTTACTGCGTGTTTCTTGTAATTGTATACTGTATTAATGTACTCTGTATTAGTAAAGTAGCGTACTGTAACTCTATCTGTATGAAAATCTTTGTATAAATGACTGGATACCCCAGATGAATTGTATAGTAGTGTTTTGCATGAAAACTTTTGTATAAGTGTCTGATACCACCAGCTGAAATGTATAGTAGTGTACGGTAGTTTCATTAATTAAAATAAAATTATTAAAGTGGTATTGATCCCGTAAACAAAAGTTTAATTTAATAATATTGTGAGTTTCATATAACCATACTAATATGACCTAGTAGCCTCCACGACGTTCTTCAGGCGTCAGTATATTATGACATTTGTCACCCCAGGCCTGCCGGCCTGACTGTAGCTAATAGTCGAGTTGCGGGATTGTCAGTCTCGTATAGATCTATACACAAATTTCACGTTCTCCATCCAGGAGACTCTGGTTATACTTTATAGGACTGGAACCTGTACCCAGATGGGTACCCCGAAGTAGTGCCTCACAACCCTGTATTAACTAGTTTACCTGTAGTGTTATAGTGTTCTTTTGTACTTGAAGTTGTATGTATTACCTAGTAATAGTGTACTTTGTAAGTAAAATAATTATACTTCAATAATTATTTAGTAGTGTATCCTTGAATTGTTGTAATAGAGTAGTGTTCTTGAAATCGTAAGATAGCGTAGTGTCTTCCAAACCATACCTATTATAGTTTAAATGTATGTCTTGTTCTGTGTATTGTGCTTAGCAAAATAGTGTAGTAGTTTACAAACTATACCAATTATAGTTTAAATGTAATGTTCGGTAATGTACTGGAAACTTTTGTAATTAATTGTGTGTATAAAGTAGTAGTCAGAAACTTGTGATAAACACCCTCTTGCTCAACATGTTACAAAAGGGTTAAAAAATAGATATAAACGTATGTTTTATTATAAAAATATTGATAAATCGTTTTGAATCAATTGCAAATGGTTTAGAAATCGTTTGAATATTAACACAAGAACCCATGTGTTTTACTTGTATTCTCCCCCTAAAATTATTGAAAAATAGTGAAAACGTAGGGGTATGAACTCACCTCTAGTGCGTGTGTTTGATCGGACTCGAAATGATTGCGAATGATCCTCGGGTTAGAACACGTGAAAGCAGCCGTATCCTAATAATAATTATTCCCGACGTCGTATTTAAATTAATAAGATATTAATTTAAATAATTAAGTAATGGCTAAAAGTAATAAATTAAGTGTTAGACAACACTTAATTAAATAAGAAAATTACTTACAAAGGTCTTAGGAATTATTTGGAATAATTCTCGACGTTTTCGGTGAGAATTTGGGTGTTTTCGGTCAAGGCTTGAAGATTTGAAGATCTTGATGAATGTTCTTGGTGAAATTATGAAGATTTGAAGGATGTTCTTGAGGGATTATGGTGTTTACGGAGGATATTTGAGAGCAAAATGGAAAGGAATTCCGTGTGAAAGGTGAGAAATGAAGTTGAATTCGGTTGAACATACACACACACACACACACACACACACACACACATATATATATATATATATATATATATATATATATATATATATATATATATAAAGGGAATTCGGTCTTAATGGGCTTGATAAATTGTGCGTTCGGTCCTAATGGGTCATATTCTTTGTGTGTTCGGTCATAGCAAGACCGAAGACCCTCTTGGTTGATTGTTATGGCCGAACACATCATTTAAATTAGATTCCAAAAACCGAATTTCTAACTTGGTTTGATTCCTTGACCGAAAACACCAATATCTGGTGTTTATTAATGCTTTAAACCTTAACCTTTTGCCATAAGTTGAATTATACTAACCTAAATTAGCTTAGGTTTCAAACTATACTTAGTTATTAGCTTATAAACATGCCTCTAAGGCTATAGAGAATACAATACAACACGGAGTGCAATGTAGATTCACTTGTGCTAGGTTAGGGTTTATACTTTGCTAGGTTTAAAATTTCGAGTTGTGACAGTGTTTGTGGTGGTTCCAATATGAACTGTGTGACAATATTTGTAATGAATATTCAGTTTTGATGATTAGGGAACCGTGTAAAAGAATTTTCAATTATGTAATATATCTATAAAAATCTATGTTACTATGAAAATTAAATTTATTACATTTTTATATATTTCAACGAATACTATAAATGGAAATTGGATTTGTTGAATATTTTTATCGTTATGAATTTGTTTTGGAACCTATTTTTGCTATGGAAGAAATGGCTACAGAATTTGCTATAGAACAAATGGTTATAAAATTTGTTACAGAACAAATGGCTACGAAATTTGCTACAGAAAAAATGGCTACGAAATTTGCTACAAAACAAATGGCTACAGAATTTGTTACGGAACAAATGGCTACAGAATTTGCTATGGAACAAATGGTTATAGAATTTGTTAGGGAACAAATGGCTACGGAATTTGCTACACACCCGATTGTTACGAAATTGTTAAGGAAGTGTGTTGTAGTTAAATTTCTACGGAATAAACGTCATAGCAAAACTGCTACGGAACTATAATTTTGTAGCTAAACAGTTTGCTACAAGAAATATACCTACTGAATCTCATTGACAAATTCCGTAGCAACTTATGTAGTTATTCAGGTTTAGCTACGGAATTTTAGCTTTTAGCTACGGAATTTTTTCGTATCTAAATCGAAAATTTCTTCATCATCATTTACACACACATTAGCACTAGAAAAGGAAATACCATAGCTTAACAAATAGGGAGAATTTCGTATACGCCCTTGCTAAAGGGTTAAATATCGTATTTGCCCGACCTAAATTCTAAATATCGTGTTTGCCCTTCTTAATGTTTTTTAATATCATAAATACCCAAATCTATTTTTTTGATTATTTTTATTGATTTATAATCTTTTTTACCATTTTAAAATCATTAAAGCTAAAAAATATTTGAAATAGACAATTTTGCCCTTGCTTCTAAATTCCAAAATCATATCCACGTGAACAGATAGAAATCGCTTGCGTCCTGCTTCATGAATCGTCTTCCCTTGCTGATCCACGATTGTGTGCGATTGTAGCGTGATTGTTGATCGATGAAGAGCTCTATACGTAACATTGAAGCGAAAACCCTAAGTGTTGGCAAAAAAACATTTGGGGGTTTTAAGTTTTTCGACAATTTGATTGATAGTTTGGAATTACACTCCTCGATGTCCGTCAATTGCTTCTTTAACATCGAAACCTTGTCGTCTTTCCCGGCGATATCTGACTGCAATCTATTAAACATGGTTTCTAAAGCTCTTAATTTGTTCGGATTCTCATTAACCTGAGCTTCCAAACAAGACCCAGTTGTGAAATCAAGATTAAAATTCGGATTTTTTCGAGAATCTATATACAATCCCCTCAAATCGTATAATTTCTGAAGTTGATTCACTAAAGCTTTATCATTAATCATAATCCCTTCTTCATCAAACGGCACATGGGTTGTTTGTAATTGAAGATACGAAGCTTCGAACGATGAAATCACAACGACAACGGATGAAATTAGATAGTTACCGAAGTGGGGAAGCAGAAACACTTTGATTTTGACTTTTTAAATTCAAATCAGGTTTGATGATGATGACTTTCTGATTGGTGATGAAGTCTTCGGTAGAGTCAAGAAGAGTGAACCCATCTTCGGTATCGGAGACGGCAGCTGATACAACGGCGGAGTTAGTGGCAAATTCTTCTTCTTCAGTGAAGAATTCGAAGGTTTTGACTTTGAACGCAATTGCAAACTTCGGAAACATTTCTGAGATTTGTGGGGGTTTTGAAGTAGCTGCTGCTCCCAATTCCATTTCGAACTTTGTTCTTCTTCACATAATCATATCATGATTTCTAGAAAACTCATGTGAAGACGATTCATGAAGCAGGACGCAAGCGATTTCTATCTGTTCACGTGGGTATGCTTTTGGAATTTAGAAGCAAGGGCAAAATTGTCTATTTCAAATGTTTTTTTAGGTTTAATGATTTTAAAATGGTAAAAAAGATTATAAATCAATAAAAATAATCAAAAATATAGATTTGGGTATTTATGATATTAAAAAACATTAAGAAGGGCAAACACGATATTTAGAATTTAGGCCGGGCAAATACGATATTTAACCCTTTAGCAAGGGCGTATACGAAATTCTCCCTAACAAATATACATCACAAAATAAAAATTATGATCTATACTTTTGAAAATCTACATGTTATAGTAACGTTATCCAAATATAAAAATAATTATATAAAAATTTTAAAAACTTTTAATTCTTTGATTTACCTTTAATACTAGCTTCAACACTGATTGAAAGAAGGCCACCATCAGCAAGTTTATTCTACCCAAATCCATCATTCTGTATTGTTGAGCACTGAAGTGAAACCTCAATGGAGCAACTATCTTTTGTAAAAACATGTACATTAACTTGGACATGATTTTGTGTTAATAATAATACTAAATACATTATTTTTTGTATATTGTAGTAAAAACAATGAAGGAAACATACCAACAATTGGCAATATGACACACCTATTTCACTTACTAAACAATATAGAGCACTTGTAAGTGTTGTGTAAGGCATTTAGAGGCATACTTGCACCCTCGAATTACAGCTTCATGTACAGACTCACTAAATCATAATATAAAAAAGAATTAAGTACAAAAATCTTGCGCACTAAAAAACTGCCATATTTTATTTTTACCTCGAATGAACCTTTTGTAGAAGGGCAGAAAGGTCACGTGGTTGTTGATTCAATACTTGAAGTGGCCAATTTTCGGGTCCAAGAAATGATTCATAATTATCTGATGCGTTATGAAACCCTAGATCCCAAATTAGATAGGAATTCTCCGCTAAACGACATGCAAAATCAAACTCCTGTTTACCTGTTGAATCGGAAGAACAGGTTCGTTCGACGACCTCTCTTCTTGTTGTTCTTAATTATGACCAAAAACTCCTCCAATACTCGCCAAGAGTGACGATAAAAACTAGTGGAGACGGCTATTGTTTGCGTCCCCTTCTTCTGGGTTTTTGGTAGCATTGAATATGAAACTTTCTCAATTTCTTTCTCTCTTGTAACAACTACAATTTTCATCGCTCTTTCCTGAAATCATTGTTGAGAAAGGGAGAGGGAGATCAGAAAGGCGATGAGGGCCGAGAGGCTGTGGAAACGAAGGTAGGAAGCACCGTTTTTACTTTTTTGGGATTTTGTTTCCCCTTTAGCTACTAAGAAGGAAGGACGTGTGTTACCTAAAAAAGTATGAAATGACAGCCAGTTTTAGGACACGCGACAATGCGTGTCCTAAATTTATCAATATTTCGGAGAGATGAAATTATTTTTAGGACACGCACGTTTGCGTATCATAAATCCAGTGCGTGTTTTTAATAAGCTGTTTTCCGGTAATGAAATCAACAGTACAACATACAAGAGATAGATGACATGTTTTTAGACGAATAAGTTATAACTAAAAAGAGAGCGGGAGGAAGTGATTTTTTACCATCGTTTGAGAGGGAATTTCTATGTGATTTTGGATGAAATTTTATATAAGAGGAAGATGTGTAACTTGTTCTTTCCTTCTAAAGTAACAATTATATATTAGTAAACTATGAGCATAAAATCAGTTTACTAGCACAAAAACATGTGTAATATGAGCAATTATGTTGTGTAATATGCTGTGATATTTTAACAAAGGAAATAAATATGTAACAAAGAACAGATCTAGCCAAGTATTGGATAAATTCTCAGCATGTAATTCTGGAAGATCCAACCATTTGGGACAGAAAAACAACAAAACAAAAAACTTATTCATAGCCAATAGCAAACATTTATAAAAACAAACTGAAAAGAAGGTTTCTTAGAATTGAATAGCTTTGCAAGAAAACACTTGCATTGTAAAAATAAGACATTGTTCCCAATGAAATTAGCCCCAAGGATATTTTGAAGTTTCTGTTTTGAGAATCATAAATCCGAAGCTCCAAGTATATATTCACTGCACGGTTGAAACTTTTTATATTTCCTTCCATCCTAAGCTTGCATAAAAATATATTCGAAAATAGCACGTGACAGTTGGTTTTGTGTGCATGTGTGTTTAATTATGTGATTAGAGAAGGGTTTTCTGGATATAAAAGTACCTCAGGAACCATCCTCAAGTACGCCAAATTTCCTTTGAGAGAAAGATCATTTCTGGGGTTCTCATAAAAACTGATTATGGTTTCTTCATCCTGTAAATGATTTTCAAGATTAAAAGCTAAACATGAAATCACATAACAAGATATATAGTCAAGAAAAAAATGAAAGCAATCAATAAATCCATCCTCTTAAGTCTTGACCTGAAATGGGTTAGAAAGGAAATTTAAGAGCAGTGATTGGGCAAAACATAGAACATTAAAAAGCGATAATCTTGATAAGTAATAAAATGGAAGGAAAAGTCCAGGCTGGGGATAAGATGATCTTTTCATGAAATCCGAGCCACACTTACATCTACTGGTCAACAACACCTATTAACACTAAAGTGGGTTACCTTGGATCTAACCCAGTAAAAAAAATCTTGGAAGAAATTACAGTCATCAAAATCGAGTAAATATGTATTTCTGATTTTCTCTACGACTCTACCTTATATAGAAATTTGGAAGATGGCGTCATCGAGGTCAACATCTAGAGACTTCAAATATATATGAGAAACGTTGAGATCATGAGAGATTTGGTGTTACTGATGATGATGATGCGATGAACAAAAACCCAAAAGAAACGGTGCATGTGTGTGCCTATCTAATGGGTGCATTTTGATGAAAATAATGGGAGTAAAGGCGGTCAGAATCGGCAATAATGGGTGCAGAGGGAAATCTGTCGCTGAAAGTTGTGTTTTATAATTTATCACTTATCATACTTTCGGTCGCTGATCTGTCGGAAATCTGTCGTTGAAAGTCCAATTTGTAGCAGTGTTTTAACTCCCAACTCCTATAGTCTTTCTTGGTTTTCTTGAACCTTTAAAAGTATATTCTTCTCATAATCATTTATTGCGCAAATGACATAAATGCCCTACGAACTTTCTAGTGTTTACCCGGTGAGTCCCCAAAGTTTTTGTCGGGCTTTATGGGTCCTTAAACTAGGATATGACCTGCTGTTTTAGTCCCTGTCAACCTGTAATAGCCGGTTCAGTGACCTTTTAGACCAAAAAATCACACAACCCTCTTCCCTTCTAATCGATTCTCGATCACAATCCCCTTCCACTATTTTTTTAGATTCGATTTCAGCTCTTCAAGGAATTGACCCCCTCCTTCCTTTTTCTCTGTTCAAAATCGCACAAGCTACCTCTCATTCTCCCTCCGAGTTATTCTCCCTCCGAGTTGCAGGTTTGATGGATGCGATGTTGAGAAGGATGCTTGGGTTTGATGAGGTTCACAAAGGAAATGAGAGTTAATCTCTTTTTTTCTTCAATTTGCAGGTGATTGGTTATGGTGGCTGACCGGTGGTTTTTGTGGGTTATGGGTGCTCCAATGGTGGCTAATTTCATGACACAAATGGGAGGAATAAGGGTGTTTGGATTGGGCTGTTGTAATAATGATTCTGTTGCGATTAAGGTGGGTTATGGTGGCTGTAATAGCTGAATAAAATGTTGATGAGAAGTTGGTTCAGGAGGGTACGAATTGAGTGTGAATCGGCTTTAGAAGAAAAGAAAGAGAGTTTTTGGTATGAATTAATCTCCGAACTTATTTTTTTTGGCTTTATAGGGGCACAATATGAGGTTTTTTTGTCTAAAAGGTCACTGAACCGGCTATTACAGGTTGACAGAGACTAAAAGAGCATGTCATATCCTAGTTTAGGGACCCATAAAGCCCGACAAAAACTTTAGGGACTCAACGGGTAAACCCTAAAAAGTTCGTAAGGCATTAGTTTCATTTTCCCTCATTTATTTGCCTTGTGCATTTTGATGTTGCTTGTTTTGTTTTCCCATTACCTATAGATCTGCTCAAAGTCAAGTCAGCAACCAAGCAGCTCAACCCATACTAGATATGTGGATGCAGCAACTAATATAAAACATAATAAATCAAATAACTTCAATAATATATATAAATAGTAATATTTAGTTGAAATGTATATGAAATAAATACTAAAATTAACATGAAGTTAACAAGAGAACCACCGATGCACGTTGTTATTTTCGTTTTCAGTTCATGTTTTCTAAATAAACAACTTCAAGATCGCACTAATCCTCTACAATTGTGTTGCATGAGAACGAGCCCTTAAAAAAAGAAGAATGTGGCCTGGTGGCCTTGGAAGCTTTGACAAGTGTTTTAATATACAAATTACTGGCATATTCTCTTGGTGTTACTTGCTATTTATACCTCTCAGCTTTACATCCAAAAACATAACCTCCCTCCCTCAACCCCATCCTCTCTAACTACCGGTGAACCATGAGAGATATCACCGGTGTCTCGTTCGGGGCCCCTTTATGGCCTATAGTCATCGCATTAACCGTCTTTGGTATTGCTAACCTTATAGCAGTCTCGGCTGATCCTTATATCTATTCTTCACCACCACCACCATATATATATACAAGTCTCCACCACCACCGGTGCATTCACTACCACCACCATATCTTTACAAGTCTCCACCGCCACCGGTGCATTCACCACCACCACCATATCTTTACAAGTCTCCACCGCCACCGATGCATTCACCACCACCACCATATCTTTACAAGTCTCCACCACCACCGGTGCATTCACCACCACCACCATATCTTTACAAGTCCCCACCACCACCGGTGCATTCACCACCACTGCCATATTTGTACAAGTCTCCACCACCACCGGTGCATTCACCACCACCACCATATCTGTACAAGTCTCCACCACCACCACCACCATATTTGTACAAGTCTCCACCACCACCGGTGCACTCACCACCACCACCATATTTGTACAAGGCTCCACCTCCACCGGTGCATTCACCACCACCACCATATTTGTATAAGTCTCCACCACCACCAGTTAAGTCACCACCACCACCATACTACTACAAGTCTCCTCCTCCTCCTCCGGTGCATTCTCCACCACCACCTTACTACTACAAATCCCCACCACCACCAACAAAGTCTCCCCCACACTATTACTACAGTTCTCCACCACCACCAAAATCCTACTACCTCGTACCTTACCCACACCACAAGAAACTCATCGTAAAGGTCGTGGGCAAAGTTTACTGCTACAGCTGCTATGACTGGAAATACCCAATCCAATCACACGCCAAGCACCACCTCAAAGGTATAAACTTCAGTTTCTCGCACTACCTTAACTGTTATATATATATATATATATATATATATATATATATATATATATATATATATATATATATATAAATATATCCAGAAAAGTCCTAAAAATTTACCCTAATTTACGAAAAAGTCCCAAACTAAATTTTGTTTACGAAAAAGCATGAATTACCTGTAAAAATGGTGATTTGACCTCTTTTTTCCGGTTTACCGGTTTTATTACTTACATGTTTCACTAAAGTCCCATTATTTTACCTTAATTTGCGAATAAGTCCCAAAATAAAATTTACTAATGATTTGACCATTTTCTCTATGTAACATACATTTACCGGTTTCATTGTTGACCCGGACGCCTAGTCATTAAATGAGATGATGAGATGGATATGTTGAGTTATATAATGTTATGTTTAGCATAAAACTTGACATCCTGATATATTGTATATCTTTTTGGAACATAAAATGCATCCAACGAAGACTACAATAATTACATAAACTAACAACAACTGCGTTATTTTTTACGTTTATCAGAAATATCAAATTGTCTATCTAATCTTATGTAACCCAATATATTTATCTCATCAGGCATCAACTTATTTTCTGTCATTTTTTCTTGGAAACACACATTTTATTGGTTTCATTGCTGACGTAGATACATAGTCATAAATGAGCCGGTGAGATGGGTATCAAATTTTACAGTAAATGTGACATTATATAACCCATCGTATTCATCTTATCAGCTAATTTAATGACTAGGTGTCTAAGTCAGCAATGAAACCGATAAAATGTATGTTACATGAAGAAAAAAGCCAAATCATTAGTAAATTTTATTTTGGGATTTATTCGCAAATTAGGGTAAAATAATGAGACTTTAGTGAAACTTGTAAGTAATAAAACCGGTAAACCGGAAATAAGGGGTCAAATCACCATTTTTACCGGTAATTCATGCTTTTTCGTAAACAAATTTTAGTTTGAGATTTTTTCGTAAATTAGGATAAAATTTTAGGACTTTTCTGGAGATTTCCATATATATATATATATATAATATATATATATATATATATATATATATATATATTATCTATATATATATATATATATATATATATATATATATGAATTGATGTGTATCCAAGTGCTTTGATGGTTGACCCATGTTCTATGTTTCTGGTTTTCCACATCTCTTTTACCCAACGATACATACAGACATATAGACAATTAACTTTCAGAAAATATTTATCTTACCTTTTGGTTTGATTTGTTTACTATCTTGCATTTTAAAATTAAAATAAATAAACATCAAAATGAAAGATATGCATATTTCTCATAAAATGAAGCATTAATTTTCTAAAATTTCATTTTTGAGTTAACTTGCTAAGACATATAATCATATAATGATTTCTTATTATACCATATAAATTATAATACTTCAAAAAAATAAAATAAAGATACCACGTTGAAGTTTCAACATATTTTTTTTATGAAAGACCACATTATAAGTTATATATTTATGATTATTTTGTATAAGAGTTAATAATATTTATTTAATTTAAGTATTTAACCCCAAAATTATATCATGCATAGCATAACATGTTTTAATTTTATAGTAACCGGCATATTACAAAAGGTGGACCAAAAAATATACACGAAGTTGACTATTTTTTTTTATTTGTGTTGAAAATGTACTGTTGTCGAAATTACTTGCAAGGCTGTTGGCCAAAAAGAAATTTCTGCATATGGAAAGACTAAGATCAATGGCAAATATGCAATTACTGTTGAGGCTTTGGACTATTCCAAATATGGAGGATCAAAAGCTTGTACCGCTAAGCTTCATATGGCACCAAAGGGAACCAAATATAATAGTTCAACAAATCTTCATGGTGGTTTGAAGGGTGCCGTGTTAAAGGTCAGATCCAAAAATGCTTATGAGGTTGTCCTTGACGCTGAACCATTTGCATATGCTCCTAAGACTCCTTCTACGCTTTGTGAGAAGCCAAAGCCAAAACCAAAGCCCACTCCTTCTCCATATTATTACAAATCTCCACCATCACCGCCACCCACTTACTTGTATAAGTCTCCCCCTCCACCCGTTAAGTCTCTTCGAGAATATCACTACACATCACCCCCACCCCCTAAGAAATCAACACTTCCTCCATACCACTACATATCACCCCCACCACCCAAGAAATCACCACCTCCCCCATACCATTATACATCTCCTCCCCCACCGGTTAAATCTCCACCACCACCATACCACTACACTTCCCTTCCACCACCAGTGAAGTCTCCTCCCAAGTACCACTACACATCACCCCCACCACCTAAGAAATCACCACCTCCACTAGACTACTACAAATCGCCTCCACCACCGGTTAAATCTCCACCCCGACCTTACCATTAAACTTCACCACCACCACCAGTGAAATCTCCACCACCAGCATACCATTACATTTCACCACCACCATCGGTGAAGTCACCACCCCCACCTTATCATTACACATCACCTCCACCACCGGTGAAATCTCCGCCACCACCATACCATTAAACATCGCATCCGCCTCCCATTAAGTCACCACCTCCACCGTACCACTATATATCATCTCCACCACCAGTGAAATCGCCTCCCCACCATATCATTACACTTCACCACCTCCACCCGTGAAATATCCACCAACACCATACCATTACACTACGCCTCCCCCACCTGTAAAATCCCCTCCACTGCCTTACCATTACACATCACATCACCACCGGTAAAATCCCCACCATGACCCTACCACTACACATCACCCCACCCCCCGTGAAATCTCCACCACCCCCATACCACTAGACCTCACCTCCACCACCAATTAAGTCACCACCACCATCATACCACTATACGTCACCACCACCACCGGTTAAATCCCCACCACCACCTTACCCTTACACATCACCTCCACCACCCATGAAATCTCCACCTCCTCCATACCATTACACCTCACCACCACCACCAGCTAAGTCCCCACCATCACCATATCAATACACGTCACCTCCTCTACCAACAAAGTCCCCACCACCACCATACCACTACATATCGCCTCCTCCACCAGTTAAGTCTCCACCACCGCCGTACCATTACTCTTCACCTCCACCACCAGTTAAGTCCCCACCACCACCATACCATTACACATCACCTCCACCACCTGTGAAATCTCCACCACCTCCATACCATTACACCTCTCCCCCACCACCAGTTAAGTCCCCACCGCCACCATACCACTATACATCACCTCCACCACCAGTTAAATCCCCACCTCCACCATACCACTACACCTCTCCCCCACCACAAGTTAAGTCCCCACCGCGACCATACCACTACACATCACCTCCACCACCTGTGAAATCTCCACCACCTCCATACCATTACACATCACCCCCACCACCAGTTAAATCCCCACCACCTCCATACCACCACATATCTCCACCTCCACCAGTAAAATCACCTCTTCCGCCTGTATACATCTATGGTTCTCCTCCACCCCCAACTAAATATTAGACTCCCATAACTTTGTTCATTGCAAGATACAACCATGTAAGTATATTTTTTTCTATTTCTTTTCGATATCACGAAACATTCTCAACATTATAACAAAATATTAAATGCTATCACACATCCATAACAACTTCATATCTATTGATGTAGGTTTTATTTTTTGTACGGGTTTCATAAAGAAGGTTCCTCAAGGAGGTGTTTGAAAATTTGTTCATCCACAACCAGTTCATTGTATGAAGGTTTTAAACATTGCACTTCACATCATCAATCTTTTTGTTACAACCATTTCCTTTCGACATCGCCGTTGTGGGTCATCATATCCTTGAAAAAGAGCTTGAATGGTTATATACCGGAAATATATGAAAAAGTTCAATTGTTTGTCACCAGAGGGTGATAAAAGTGTTGTGGCTTTAATAGTTTTTCTTTTCATGTTTCATATTTATATTGTATAAATGGATAACTAATGGTTATTTTATATTTATATATTATTGGTTTAATCTTCTCATTTCTTCTTTTTGGAGTCCTATATTGTTAGAGATATGGCCACTACACAACATATTGTTAACACAAATTAATTACATGAGCCTATATGGGTTACCCACTTGACTCAAGATAAAAACATTGACAAATAAATAAAGAGGGAATTAATTAATTATTTAATAAGTGTCAATAAATAATTAGAATTTATTGTAATTAATTGTTATTGGTTAAAGTGTTAATTAATATTTAGAAATTAATTGGTGGAAACTAAATAATTATGCTTAAAATACTTATATAAATTATTTGAATAATTAATAGATTATTCTAAAGGATAATTACTAAAGAATAAAATAATATTATCCTTGATTAAAATTTGGAAATGATAATATTTCCACCAACTATATATAAGGAGCAAGCATAAGGGGTTTAGGGTATATTCAAAACCTTAAATTCGACCTTCCTTTTTTTCCTTTCCTCATCTCTGGGCAACAACCTATAGAAAACATTGGTTTCTTGGTGGTCAAAATTATCAAACCTACAAATTTAGGGTTCTTGATTGCTTGCAGGTCAAGGCGTATGATACTGTCAAAAGCACTCTTATTTGAGTTCCTTAATCTTGTTGACATTTGTTAAAGGCATTTCTTAAACCTCCTTTTAGGGTTAGTGTTTCTATTAATAGAAATAATCATGATCTAGTGTTTAATCATATATGTTCTTGATTTAAATGCTTAGTTATTTTCTGTTTAATTAACTATTTCTTATAAAAAAAAAAGAACACCTTATTATCCAATAATAGTATCAGAGCCTTTAATTCTTGTTAATAGCATTTAGAAATAAGTTTTCGAAAAACTAATGTGTATGATCTTGTATATATTGTTTGGGAAATTTTGTGTAAAATATATACACATTAGGGTTTCAAGTTCATTGATCGGCAAGAACGATTTTGTTTTGAATTCAATGTCATTGTTTCCCCTTTACTTTGATTGTCTTATAATTTTGGTTTTATTTTTTGACATGAACTCATACAACAAAAACCATGAAGCGTGCTTATATCTTATGTTTATAAAACAATTTTATCGACAATGCAACATATTAACAAAGATTGTTATGTAAATTATTTAATTACAACAGTTATCAAAATAATGTTACATTTTATTCTGTGGATATGGTAATCTATTGAATCATTTTGGGCATGTGTTGATGATGTCTTGAGTTGTTTAGTTTACTTAGGCTAGTTTAATAGTGACTTGAATGATGTGTGTAGGTTCCCATTTTGTCGATTGGATCGGTGTAGAAGATATTACCAAGAAGATAATCGTGTATGAACATGATGAACACGATATGTGAGTAAAAACTGTAGTAGATAGATAGAGAGATATAAAATATTACAAGAACACTCATGGGTTAGGAGAGATAACTCTCCCTTGGTGGGAGACTCCCACCAAACTCTCTCTAGTCTAAATGTCTACATAGTGAACACTCTAATGAAATAAAATGACCATCACCTTCACTTTATATACTAGTGGAAGGAATATGCTTTTTATACAAGGGAATATTCTAACCTAATAAACACTCAACAGTGTAGAGCATTTTCATGCTCCAACAATCTCCCCCTAAATGCTCGGAAATGGTGAGGGTAAAGTAGTGATAAAAGGCAGAACATCCGACAGGCAGGTCCGGTGGGTCTGGTGCTGAAGCGTCTCAGAAGAGATGAAGCTGTCGTGATCTCGGAATCTGGCAATGGAATCTCTAGCATGAAAGAACAAACAAAGAAACCCAATCTCTGAATAAAAGTATGAAATCCCAATCTTCGAATGTGATCAGTCCCTAACAACTAATCATCTTCACAGTCTCCCCCTCGACTGTTGAACCGAAGATCACAATGTTGAATAACACAACATCTTCAATATTCCGAAATCGAATGATAATGCACCAAATAATCTCTACAGAATAACCTGCTGAAAATGTGAAGCATCCAAAAATAAAGTCCGAATAATAAATAATATGAATCCGAAGACATGGTCTAGCAATGCCAAAAATTTGATCCAAAGATCAAAAATAAGTGTCACGCCGCATCGCAAAAATAATCATCGTCTTGAAAATATCACAAATCCAAACTCGAGCAATCATAATATATGAACCGGATGCAAACACAAATGAGACATCCCAAAGTGTAGAGTCTGAAGATAAATAATCATAATCCGAAGAACATCCGGTTATGCCAAAAATTCTATCTGTAAAGATCAAAATTTAGTGCCACATCACACTACTAAATGAATCTTCGTCTTCAAATGTCTCTAACGTCAAAACTCCAATAATAAACCAGAATGGATGCTCATGATTCTCCCCCTATTTTTGATCGACCATGCAATAAAGATAAAAAATAATCATGAAACCGGGAAAGAAAATACGTCGGATATGATGGAGCATCGCACGCTCCCCCTTGATGTGAGCATCTACCCGTAAAAAACGAGGATATTATTTTTCGGTCATGGGTAGACATGGTGATGTATCGCCGAACTGACCAAACACTGTAGAATATATATATGATAAACCCGCTGCTGAAGAATCATAATTGCTGAACCGAAGTAATGCCAAAAACCGAAATGCAAACCCGAACTCCCAAATAATGGTCCGAGACTATATATATATATATATATATATATATATATATATATATATATATATATATTTATAGTCCGAAGGGAGTAAAAATGTGAGTAGCTCGGTAGAAGTGAGACACAAAAACAATAATCTCTGAACCAACTGTGTCATCACTCATAATCAGCAAGAAGAATGAAGTCATGAACCATAGGGCTAAAATTGGTGTTAAAAAAATAATTGATTTTAATAAAAAAAATTGGTTTTAATAAAAATAATTTTTATTAGAAAAATGGGTTTAAAAAAAATAATGGGTGTTAAATAAAAGTAATTGGTTTTAAAAAAAGGAAGGAGTAAATTGGTTAAAATTAAAAAAACTTGAAAATAAATGGGTTTTAAAAAAATGAAATAAAATAAAATGAATGGGTGAGTTTCGGAATATAAAAAAACATGGGTTAGGGGGTGGATCCATAATAAAAATGGATTCGCTCCTGAAAATGGGTTAAGTCTCAGAAGGTTTTAAAGGTTAGAAGTGGATAAGGTTAGGAGTGGAAAATGTTAGGAGTGAAAAAGTTAAGAGTGGAGAAGGTTAGGAGTGGAGAATGTTAGGAGTGGAAAATCCGGAGTGAAAATAAAAAAATAAAGTCAGGAAAAAAAAGGGTAAAGGTCCGAAATATGTTATGGTCCGGATTTTTTTTTTTGGTCCGAAATTTTGGAGTCCGAAATTTTTAATTTTTTTATTATTTTATTTTTTGTTTTTTTATTGAGAATTGTTGGTCTCGGAATTA